TGCTAATTTCCTGTATTATATATTTCCTTTTGGAGATGAACAAATAAGTTTAATTGCTTTGAGTTGGTGACTAGAAAGATAAAGTGAGTTTTTGTCATGTCTAAACTGCAATTCTAGCTTAATGTATTCGAAGGTTTTCCGAACTAGGTTTTTACTCGTCTTTCTTTGGATGTAGGGTGCTGATATTTGGTCGTTTGGGTGCGTCCTTCTGGAATTGTTAACACTGCAACTTCCTTACTCAGAGTCATCCGAGTTAGATATCCACCATTCTCTTCAGGTATTTCTTTCTAACCTTCGATTAATACCATGATGAGTACCTAGTGTACTTGAATTACCATTGTGTGATGAGGACTTCAGAAATTCCAAAGGCCTTGTATTGCTTTCGATCATGACAACTGCCTGCAGAAGTACCCTTGTCGCATGCACATTTTTTTTATAAAAGAAGTTTTTGTTTGAATTGCTTTAAATGGTAGAAAACAATGTAATTCATGTTAAACACATGCAGGCGGGTAAACGGCCACAATTAACCGAAGAACTAGAGGCAATGGCTACGTCCAAAACAGAGCTAGAGGATCTAGCAAAGTCTTGTTCTAGCTCAGACCTTGACAAGAAACAATCTGAATCTCGTATCCTGAGATTTCTTGTTTCTATTTATCGTTGGTGTACTGAGAAGGATCCAAACGACCGTCCCACAGCAGAGAACCTCTACAACCTCTTACTTTCCTGTGCTGATTCCCTCTCTTCACAACAAAGTCAAGAAGATTCATGATCTTCCTCAAATTTTGGTAGCCTTAGGATGTTGTAGATTAGCATTAGATTATTCAGCAGGAGTTACAGACCCAATATTTGGGTCTGGTGTCCCCTCATTGAGCAATGTAACATGTTCTTAGCCTTATTTGAAATGGAAAAGCCATAAGGACGTAGTCGTGTCCATGGGACATTTATGATGGTCTTGTTGTGTGTGTGTGTGTGTTGTGCATCATTTTCTTTAGTCCTTTCCTAGCTTGTAGTTGTATTCATTTGTACCCATCTTCACAAATTCCAACTGATTAATTATGAAATGTATTCTGAGCCTCTAAGACTGATTTTACTATGGGAATTTCTGGATTTTAATCTTGTTAGTTGTCAACTCTTTTCTTGTTCTTTTAAGACCTTTACTTCTACTCCTTGTAGCAAATGGGATTATAAGTCTTATAATTCTGTTTATTATTCTTCTGGATATCTATGTTGCTTGGCCTTTTCATAAATGTCAGATGTGCGAGTATAACATCTTTGGAGAGTCCGAGCTAACATAACTGAATATTGTCTATTTGAGAATTAGAGTTGTATATTTTTGATATCGTAGTTAGCAAGTAAGTTATTCATATATAAAATTTAAATTTGAGTTGCAATTTCGCACAACTAATATTTATATAATTAATAACTTTATATTACAAATATACCTTCATAATTCTAACCAACGATTTAAGTTTAGATCCCAATCAAGTCATTAGTATTTTGGTAGGAAATTCCACCAATGATTTTGTGATGTTGAAGCCCATTTGTCATTTCCATTCCATCATTTGCCTTTAAAAAGTTATAGTAGTTGCCTCATGCTTATTCTTTTTTATCTTTACTTTTTCTTTTCCACATTTGTTAAGTAATTGTTTGCTTCGCTAAAAACTTAGTTGCATTTTTTTATTTTATTCTTGTACCATATAATAGTGAAAAAATGTATGTTCTAAACAAAATAATCAAAAAAAGTTGAACATCATATGTACTATTATAAGTCACATAGAAGCAAAAAGCCTCCAAAGTAAAAGATAATCACCTTTTTTTTTGAGCATGCATGGACGTAATAATAACCCTTTCTTCTAGGCTTTGCCAAAAGAAAAATATATATATTATATAAAAAATAGTTGAAAATACTTTTCTTAATTTTTTAACTGTTGGAGAAAAGGAAATGCATGACAGAAAAATAAAATAAAAAATAAAACTGAGGAGGAGTATTTAGTCAAATTGTTTGTTCCAATAAGTGTTGATATAACTAGACCGTTCAAAATCAAATCGAAAAAATAGTGTTTATTTATTGGTATAGATATTCGTCTGAAGATTTGGTAACAATCTAGGTTCTTTATATTTTTTTTTTAACATATTAACCGATAACTCAATAATAATTGGGGGTCTGGTATGTTAACTAATCCCTTAACGAAAGCTAATGTGACAATACATTATTATGAGTATATAATAAAGGCTTATAATCTTCCAAGTGCATGATATTGTGTTTTTATAAAATGAAAAAAAATCAACTACTATATAGTCTAATATGAGCATTAAGGTGTTTTTGATTGAGAAATGTTGGTGTTATTTAGCTTTTAGGTTCCACTAACTAATTTAATATAACTTTCTTAGTGTGACTTGCTTTTAATTTAGATTTTAACTAACTGTTAAAATAATAATTGAATCATTAATAATTAGTAATCAATAAATTGATTATTAATATCTTATAAATAATTTAGCAATCGAAATTCGAAACACAGCCGATAAGCACCTTAAAATGAAGTGTTGCCCCTCTCGCTAGAAAAACTCTGAAAGTCCTTTAATTAATGAGAAATAACATTTAATATCAAACTTAAACAAATTTACACAAGCTAATTTTATTGCCCTTAATTACAAAAGCAAAACCTAATATTCAAATAAAAAACAAATAAATATCAAATTTTGAATCGTGCGCCATTATTTTAAAAAAGATTTTGTAAGAAAATAAGTTTATGGACCATTTTTGCTGAACAACAAACAAAATATTTACAATTTGAAAAGCTGAAAGCAACTCAGATTTTGATTATATAAGTTCAAATATGACCTATCTTTAATTTGTCTGACTTTTCTTTTAATAGCAACAAAAAACAGACTAATAAATGAATATTGCCCCTCTGCAAATGCTAATTATTTTTTTTTCCCTTCAATTTATTTTGTCATCCTTTCTCATGACTATGCCATTTATTTACTCAAAATGGATAATATATCTGTCCCTTGACAATGAAATGTTCTTGCATCAACCAAAAAAAAAGTGTTTTTCTCGTCTTAAAATACTTATCGTGTTTTTATCTATATGCTTCGTAAGAAAATATTAATCTAGAGGGTACTTAACTATTTAGCTTTTGTTTATGTTTGAAGATGAAATATTTACTTTATTTGTGTTTCATAATTGACGTGTTTGTAGTATTCAAGAATAATTACATTATATCAAAATAATTTTTAGCATCAATAAATATAGACATTAACGAAGAGCGTTTATCGACATTAGTTAATTATTATTGGATCTAATATCACTATAGGTTATCGAGACGTTTACAAAGAGTGCTATTGGTTTTAAGCAGTGGCGGAGCTAGAATTTGGTTTAAGGGGTGTCAAAATATAAAGAAATAAAATCGTGTAGAAGCCAAAGAATGTCAAAATGTAATATAGATATACAAAAAAAAATTTAATTCTAGCTATACAACGTAATCTTCAGACGAAGGAATGTCGGTTGACATTCCTTCACTACATGTGGCTCCGCCACTGGTTCTAAGATATACATAAGCAACAATTAGACTATTACCATTAAAGATCATATTTGACATATTGTTACTACTAAGGATTTTGTCTTTTAAGATATGATGAATATAATTTTACGATAAGTAATTTGAGACGGAAGGAATATTGATTCGTATCCTATGGCTGATTTCATACGTTTAGTGAAGATTTTCTGTCTCCATCATATATTACTATCAGCCACTATATTATGTGGTCATCAAGTTCATCTGTTACATATCAATTTTTTCCTTAGCATTTACGTTGATATATGGCAAGACCTCTCGACCATATGTTTATTGGTACGTGATTCTAAGATGTGAATGATTCAATTAGACGTTTATATATCAACATTGAACATATCTACTGTCCACAAAAAATTTTGGCAATATTTTATAGTCAAACGGTAAAAATGGCGTTATATTACAAACCTATAAGCCAAATTTACTTGTATAAAATCTGAAATAATATATATAAAGAAGGTCTAACACGGTGCAATGTATAGATTATTCCTCGTAAAGTTTAAGTGTGTAATAAAAACTTCTACTATAACTTAAGCAAACTTTATGTATAATTATATTCATATATACTATTATATATACAAGTCCAAACTAATTATTACTGAAATAGCGAATGCAATAATATTCATCGAGGAGTAAAGAGAAGAATGATATAATCATTCTCTATAATAATTGTGCTTTCTATGGAGTCGATTTTTCATTTTCATGTTATACTATTGCTTACTCTTTCTAACAACATCTCTCTACAACAACCAAATAACATTTGTAATATACAAGTTTGGCTCTATTTACATTAACTAAAAGAAAAGATATATATATCTCCAATATTAACATTCTTTTGATTTTTTTGAATCATCTTATTAAAATTTCAAACATCGTCATCCACCGAAGAGGGTGGGGTGGGTGGAAGAATAATATATTTTTATTTACATAGAAGGAAGAACCGTTATAAGAGGACCACTCTACTAGTATCAGTCTACTCCTAGTCTAATATATATATATATATATATATATATATATATATATATATATATATATAAT